CCACCTTATCTGCGTCAGTCACTCTCCTGCACTGAAATCCCACTGATCTAGATCTGTTACTCGGATGAACAAGCAAGAGGGCACATATCGTCTGTGACATCTCCAAGTAACCTTACAAGGACTATGAATGAGCTGGGTTGTGATTGCTACTTACCATAATTTCTTTCAGCTCCCCACAAATTTTAAATTTTATATATTTTTTTCATCTAAAGACAGTAGTCAAGAGGCCCTTAAGAGTAACCCACACATGCAGTGCCTAGTAGGGAGGGACCTTGGCTTTGAAGAACCTTCCATAGCTAAGATAAAAAAGAAGAGTTACAGTGTGTGCTCAAGCTGTTTTATGAGTAATTTTCCACTTTTTCATTGGAAACTTTTAACAGGGTTATGCTGTTGACACATGCTATGATAAATTGCAGGACTCTCAGGGGATTGGCTAGAAAACAGTTTTTCTCATCAGTAGCCAGCTAGAGAGCTGATGCTTTATAACTTGTCACAGTCTATACATGCTCTATAAGCCAATCACAAACAAAACCTAGGCATGCATTCTCATGCTCGAAGGCAAGGGGTCAATATGGGGAAAGTTAAGGTAATGTAAGTGCTGCTCAAATTTTATTGGCTTATACATGAAACTGATCTCAGCACCATAGCAGGAGACAGACTGTCTTACTTTTTGTCCTCAAAAAACTGTTCTCCAGAGAATGCAAGCAGACCCTGTGGATAAGCACTGTAAATCTGTAGTGCCTATAAACCTATATGTTCTCATCATATCTGATAGACAGATTTTAGTGGGTTTACATGAGATTAGCTAGACGTTTTAGGCTAAAGGGATAGCCAATGCTTTGCCTCTGACACCTTCATCTGAGGAGGTTTCCCAGTTGAGTTTGCCAGTAAAGCTGAATAACATCTCTGAGGCAAGTATTTTCTTTGGTTTTGACTGAGAATTTTAACTCCTGCTCAGAGGCTTCTTCCATGAAAGTATGAGAGGAATACTGGTTTTTCTGTCTTTTTGAGACCAAAAGAAGTGGGAAATAGACACGTAGTCTACAGGTGAGTCTTTGATTAGCTCATGTTACTCCAGACAACATTTACCTTGTTTACATCTTCCTGCAGATTTGACTGAAGTCAATAGAGATGCATATGAGTACATCAGTGCAAACTTTCTTCTGCATAAAGAAGACAACTTAAAACAAATCTGCATTCCTTGTAACAGTAAATTTTAATGTGTATTAAATTATAAAGTGTATAAATAAGGCTTAAATTATAATGTTGCGGGATTCTTGTTAGACAAGACATGATTGATAGTTTTGGTAACAGAATTTAAAATCTGCTTGATATAAGTCATGCCTTCTGCATTATTCTGACTGTAACCGTGTGCTGTGGTTCTAAGAAGTAATTTGCTTATTTATTGTAACAGCCCATTTAATGAAAATTTAATGAAGAGCAGTCCTTCTGGAAATCTTAGGCTTTGTGTGTGTAGGAGGAATATTGGATCAACGTCATCTGTAACATTTTTAGCTTGGGATTTTTATTGGTGTGTTACTAGAAGTTCTGTGCTTGCAGTCTACTTTTGTGGCAGTGACACAAACTACATGCAGCTTCTTCAGAGACAAGGACTTGCCAAATGTTGTCCTTGTCACAGAAGAGGCTACATGAGTAGCTACAACATCACACTAACCATGGCTTACAATGGGATGTTTCTTTTCTCACTTCTGAGAGAGGCTGTTTTGGGTTTGAGAAAACTGTAGCAACAAGACTGCAGGAGTAAGATGCTTTCTTAGGTGTGTGTATGTCTGTATGGTGGCTTGCTCCCACTTCACATACCCTCCCCAGTAATGTATGAGAAGTGTAATTTTTTTCTCTGATTGAAAAAAGGATGAATTTGGAAATCTTAGCACTTTTTTTTTTCCAATTTCTTTTAGTCGGCCTTACTTTATGAAGCTAGCATATTTATACCAAATATGGAGTTCTGAAGTTGACTAGGGATGTCCCTAAGATCACCACTGCCATTATAAAGCCAGGAATCTAAAAAGAGGATAAATCCCTTTTGTATGGCTCTGTAAGCAGCTCTACTTGCTGGTTAGATTTACATATCAAATGCATTTCAATCTTTTTTTCTTCTGAGCACTTCTGAACTAAGCCTATTCTTCAGGGCATTTGTTCAATTATGCCACTTAGGAGCTTGTGGATAGTTCCTGGGCCATTGTAATGTGTGACCAGTTATCAAGCTTTGTGTTAAAGTCCTATGTGCCTTTTTTCAGTAACAGTGTTGCTTTTTTCCCATCCCCTTACACAGTTTCCTGTTGCCTATTTCTTCCTTGTGTTTTTGTCCTTGTGCAAGTACAACTTGTGCTAGTATTTGCTGAAATGTAGGAGAAAAATTTCTGGATTTCACTCGAGCCCTGAAGGTTACGAGTAGGCCTTGAAACTGGAAATTCCCATTGCGGCTCCAGAGCTGAGAGAGTAGTAGGAGGGAGGGGGTGCATGGCTGGGGTAATTGATGGAGAAAGTGGAAATGCTCTTATCCTCATACTGTCAGAAAGAGTAATACCCAGCCCTGTGCTGGAGCACACCTGGGATCACTGGGTCGGGATCAGACAGCAAGGCTGGTGTACCGTCCTTCTCCCTCCTGCGCTGTCTCCACAGTCCTGCTGTACCACTGCTGAAACACTTGGTCACAGAATTTATCCCATTTGTGAATTTAACATACATGCTTTTTGCAGAAAAGAAAGATATTTGGTGGAGAGTGTCTTAGGAAAATCTATTTACTCATGGAAACTTGTCTCAGATTTGAGGAAAGAGAGGAAAAGAGGACACTTTGCATGTGCAAACACCAGTTTGTACCTCATACACACACACACAGAGATGTGTGCATGATCATATGCACATACCAGTTGTGATCATTTCCAACAACTATTCACAAGACAATAGTTTCAAAACCACAGTGTCAAACTGGAAGCCTGTGTGTGTTGCTATGGATATAAGGGTTTGCCTAGAAAAGCAAGTCAAGTTTGCCCAAAAAATTACTGATGTAGGGTTGAGAACTTGATTTTCTGAAGTGATCTTCTTCTGAAAATGAGCCTCTTCAGAGCCATTAAGCCTTGACTATCAAAAACATGAAGCAACTTTCTACATGTTATTATTGGTAGTAGTAAAAGCAGGAAACATGAAAGAACATGCGAGCGGCACGGCATTGTGAACAGATATTAAATGGAATTGTTCATTAAAGAATGTTTATTAATATTACTTTAAATTATTAGACTGATTCAGGAAGTCACTTAACATTAAGAATGTAATTAAATGTATGTTTAAATTATTCTCTGAACTGATTCAGTAACAAGGGATCTGGATTAGAACTAAAAGTAAACACCAAGGATGTCTTCAGGCTTTGGTAAGTTGAATACAGTGGAATTACTTTGGTGAAAGGAGCAATAGAAGAAAACATAGAATTGAGTTTTTTTGGAAGCTTTTTTCTTTTCTTCTTCTGTAAATGTGGTATTTTAAAGTTTCTCACTTCCCTAGATCCCTTTGTTTTAGTAGATATGTTATAAATGTGTATATATATATATATGCACACACGTGTGTGTATATATATATGTATAGACACACTATATGCACATGATGCCCAAATGTAACACATGGGAATAAATAAGCATGTAGCCTGAAGACATAATGTTGTAGCTTCAAGAGGCAGGCCCTGACAGGGAAATTTGACTATACAATAGTACTTCCCAACAGCATAATTGACCAAGTTTTCCAAGTCTCCCCCTTCTGAACCACTTTCAGCCCCACTAATAACAAAAAAGGGAAAAATCACAGGCTGAGCAGTTTATAACAATGCTATAGTGAACTGGGAGAGTTCTTCACCGTGAATTTCCAGATTTTCTCACTATGCCTGTCCCCAAAGCCCTCCTGACCCCTACAGAGCTCTTAAGATCCATCTCTGTCCATACAAAATTTAGATAATTTGTGGTTTGAACAATTGTCCATACGTTAGACTATCCCAATTAAGTAGTCCCTACTGCCCCTACTTTGCTATAAAAACAGTTGTATCATATAAGTAATAGAGAACAGCAGAGAGAATCACATGAATATGTAATGTTTCTAATGTTGCTCATCTGTGTTGCCACAGTGCTTGACCTGCAAAAATACTTAATCATTTTGAACGAGACAGCTTCTCTAATAACCGGTACTGTGGTGGTCACAGCTTTCTTATGCTGGGAATTAAGAAACTTCAGCTGGAACTTAAATAAGCTGTACTGGTGCTTCTCAAACCCTGACAATGGGGACACAACCTGCCAAAGGGCTGAATGATGTGTATATATATGTGCTTATCTGCTCCTGCCAGGGTAGGCGCATCTCGAGATCTTTAGATAGGTAGTCACTGAAGCCTAGACTGAGTACTAGCACTGAAAGGTGGGCTTACCAGCAAGTGACTATCCCTAGAGTTCACACCAGCAAATGACTCTCCCTGGAGTTCTCCATGGTGAAAACCCGCCATCAGATGGAAGACTGTGAATATTGTTGAATTTAGATACTAGTTGTCTGGCTGAATTGCTGAGAGTGTCTGAGGCTGCTGGCAAGGTTCCGCAGACCCTGCCGTTCCCTGCTGTCTTCACTAGCCCTCCTCGGAGCTGTCTGGAGGAATGGTAGTCAGGCCTACTGAATCATACTTGAAGGAAAAAAATGAAACAAAATTGGGTAAATAAACTCTTAAAATTACTTTTGCCAGTAGCTGGGCACCCCTAAGGTGGTATACTGAAATAATAAATTACGATCCTGTCTACAAATCTCTGATTTCTTTAGAGATGCAGATTTTTTTTCCATAAACAATGATGCTTTCCAAACACCTTTTAAATAATTTGCAATCAGAAACGAGAATATAGAAGATTTTTAAGTACAGAGTGTCATATTAGCTTTCTGTATTCATCTTGATAAATTCTTAAGTTCTTACTGTGCATTTTCCAGGGTTTTGTTTTTCTGAATCTGCTTGTTTGGGAGAGCTCAGGCAATTTTTGACCCTGTTAACATACCTATTTTGCTATGTTTTTTCTCACTGTTAAGCAAACTGAAAAAGTAGGGAATTCAGTTCTGCTAAATTTGGTCCCCAAAACCTCTCCACCTCTCCTTAGCTTTTTCCTCTAGAACATTCAGAAAGCACGATCTGTTAGTGTGATGTCTGCTAATTCCTCCCTGCCAATATAATCACTTTCTAAACATTTCAGCTCTCAGAAAGGACAGAAGTGCATGGCAACTCTGTGTGTAACCTGGGCATTCCAGCTCCAATCCATACCCCCTAGGGGTAGAATGTTCATTTCCCCCAGCTTTACTGCTACCTCTCAGCAGCATTGATGGTTAAAACCCCGCCTTGTCCTTCTCAGACAGAAGAGGGGTTGCTAGTATGACTAGGTTGCTAGGTTTCTAAAATTAAGGAAAATGTAGGAATCATGTGCTACAGGATGCAAACCCCGAAACATGACAGGGAAATGCAGAGTTTTGGATGAGGAAACATGGAATACCTGTGTGTGTTATATTGATTTGTATTGCATTAGGTAAGGAGTCTATATGTGACACAATAATTTCTGTGTAAGTCTAGCAGATTCAAAGCCAGCTTTCTAGTGCCTATTTTGCAGGGATTTTTCAGGAGCATTTTGAAAGATCAGCCATCTTTCTCTTTCACTGATAGGGCTTTTCTGATTTAGCTCCGACATTTGTAATTGCTTCAGATGAGTTGTTATTGCCTTTTCCTGCCTGTACTTAGCTACTGCTTGCCTTTATTGGTCTTTCTAAATTCCAGATCTGGGCACATATAAGAAGATGGAAAGATTTGTCCTCCTGTTCCTTATCAGACTCATATCCCCTCCTTCAAGTTAGGTTTTGGGCTGGAACTGCAGTCTCAGTCCTCCAGGTTTATCCCAAATCACTGTCTCCTCTGCCCTTCATCCTACTTCATGTGGCTCAAGGAAGAAATATCCTGCGGTCAAGAATCCAACAAACACAGCTTCTGCTGACAAGTTTTCACCAGAAAAAGGTTCTTCAAAGCCAACCCTTAATCACTTGGGACCTGTTTGTAGTTCTTGCTTGCTGGACAAAATTGTTCTTACTTTCTGAGAGGGTGAGTGCTTGAATAAATTGAACAAAACCATGTGCACGTGGAGACATAAAAATCTATTGATTTTTGTGTTTGCCCACAAAATGTTAAAGAAGTTTGTTTGAACAACTGTTTTAAGCTGAACACAAAAGGATGAGCACAGGCAACAGAAGAAAATGCATTATAAATAAAAAAAAAGCAGTTTTCACCGTTCTATTGTACTTTGAACTATTTGTCTCCTTTCTGTGCTTCTCCATATTGCTCTATAAACTTCTGAGGTTGCAGAATTATTTCTCTTCACTTAAGTTTGAATAGAAACTCATTCTTCATTTCGACTCAGAATCGGTGGCAGTCTTCCTGATAAAATGCTCAGCTCAGTATTCCCCAAATTTTCCAGGCAGTTTCACAGTTTCCATGCAGGTGAGCTTGGGTAGTCTTTGTTCCTTCACATCCACACGTGAGCCACAGAATAGCCTTCATCTTGCAGGCTCATGTGTTGTATCTGCAGAGGTGGCAGTGTTTTTCTGTAGTTTAAGACGGTAAAAACAGTCGGGTGTTTTCATTTCTAATTCTTGTTTTCCTGTATTTAGGATTCCTTAAGATTTTGCATCCTTAGGTGTCTTTTCTCTGATGTGTTCTTTGTCTCCAAAGTTGAGAGAAAAAAAAAAAAAAAAAAGTTTATATATTGCTGAAATTTATAACATGATGTAACATGCCTTTATGGACTGCTAATTGTTTGAAAATGGATTAACGTTAACATAGTTGGTATCTGGGGTGCATTGATTTATCCATATTTTTAATCTCTATATGCCTGTATGCAAATCACCACGCAGACAAAAACAATATATCTGTGTTCCGAATCATAAACATCCAGAACCTGTGTTTCTTTGATTGCTTGCAGTTAGTATAACATAACCTTGCTAAATGTTCTTCTGTCAATCTACAAAACCTGTAAACAAGTCATCTTTGCATTTTCCTTATCTCTTTGCTTAAAGTCAGAAAAATGAAAAAAAAAAAATAAAAAGCTTTTGAATCCTTTGATTTAGAGAATTTATTTCCAGTAATTTTAGGACAGCCGTAACATAGCTGGATTTTCTGTTCCTGTAAGCTTACAATATTATTGACATATTAAAGTGTATCTTATTATGCAAGTTTTGCATAGTGACAGAAGGAACACTTCAAGGAAGAACAGAGGTTGTTCATATAGCAGCGCACTTAGAATTTTTTAATAATATGTGTAAGAAAAAATTGCTGACTCATTGAAACCAAGCAGTGAAATTGTACATTTTGTTAATTTACCCAATTCAAAAATTCACCTTGAATTAATGGATTAAAACACCTTGTTGTGAACATTTTCTTTTATTTGAAAATCTTTCTCTTCCTTCCTTTTCTCAGTTTCTTCCTATTTATCTTTGTTTGTCCTTTTTTTTCTGTCTCTTCCTCTTTCACTTTCTCTTTTGTTCTCGTTCTTTCTCTAATTCCCTTTCAAAACATGCTCTTATTTTAAAAATGTCCTAGATTTTGAGCTCCTAAATACACAAGAAATATTTTTCTTGATCCAGCCTGAGACCTATTCTATTTTTTTTTTTCAGATTTCAGCAGAAAACAGTCAGAATACTCTTCCTAGTAAATGAATTCTGTTACTCACTCTTCAAATGATTTTTTCTTGTCCTCTACCAGCTTATGAGAAGGTTATTTATTAATTTAGTTCCATTTATGCTTGGGTTAGGGGTTTGGATTTTTTTTCGAGGTAACATTAGTGCTAGCACCTAGTAGTACAATTACTTCTTTGCCTATCTTAGCATTGTTTGTCCTCTGATATTTGCCAAGAGCTGTCATACTTCCCCTCTGACTTCACTTTGCTGAGCTGACAAATCAAGTTCTTGTGATCAGATCATGATTGGAGACTCTTCATCCTCTTTGCTATCTTAGTAGCCTTTTGCTTGATCACGATTAATGGGGCGACATAATCCCAATGAAAGCTTGCCTACATCTAGGGTTATAGCATAAAATAATTTCCTCTAATAGCATCCCACTAGCTTTTTTTTTTTTTTTCCAGGTGTATATCACACATGTAGCATACAGATATTATGCAACAAAATAATACCCCAAGTCCTCTTCCTCCCTCTGCTTCCAGACACTTGCAGTCCTAACTTACAACATGAAATAGTTTCATTCATTCCAGGCCAGGATGTTCCGTGTTCTCAAGCAACATTTGTTTTGTTTCTATTATTCCCATTCCGTAAAGTGATTGTGTTCTTTCTCACACAGTATTCCAGAAATCCTACATTTTTCATAGATACAGAAAAGTGTTTCTGGGCCAACTCTGCTATTATTATGTATTATTTCTCTTTATGCAGGGTTAATGCTCTATTTCTATTGCGTCTATATTATTAGGAAGCCCTTGGATGCATTTAATTGACTGCACTAACAGTGTAGTGTGAACACTGACCTTGGTCAGACCCATTGCTGTGTTAGTAGTATGAACCTTGAGTTCAAAGGGATTCAGCAGTCCCAAAGTGTTTGTCCTGTCCTGGCAGTTAGCGGGGCTCGTATTCCGGTACGTAGCTATGGATCTGAAGCACAGCTGGGGACTGCAGTATGTGCTGCAGCGCCATCTTAAATCAAGACTTCATTTAGGGAAGGATGGAATTCCTTTTGAAATGTGTATTGCACCCTTTGTGCTTCAAATCTTGACCATGCATGTTTAAACCTGGCTCTTGATCTAAGAGTGCAACATCTTGCTAAAAAGTCAAGCTTACTAAAATTAAGTTTGTGAACATATAAGTGCAGAAGATCTGTCTGAACAGGCACATATATTGTTTTGATTTTACACTTACCAAGATAAAATTAACACTTCTTTCTTTTTACCTGAGAGGTTTCTATGTATTTCTTAAATACTCATGACCTGAAACCTATAGCTGATGTCACCGGTTTGACTAATGTGGGGAATCTGACATTTTAATTGTTTGAAATTGAGCAAAAGAAATGCAAAGAAGAAAAACCCACGGATTTTTCTGTTTCTTTTGGGATTTTGGTGCTCTTTTCAAGGAAATGATTTATTCTGATTGGCCCTTAGAATCCCCTACAGAGGAACTATAAATCTTTAAAATAGGTCAACATCTCACTAATTATTGCTTTAATTAGTGACAGCCACATAATAATTTTTATTCCTCTGTTCAATTTAATAGGAGTCAGACATATTTGAATTTTTCTAATTTGAAAGAAGTTGTGTCCTTGATTTTTAATGGACTTCACCCAGTCTGGCAGATTACTTGGAAGTATTGATGGTAAAAATTTAAAGACTGTACCTTTAGTTTTCCTGTCACAGCTGCTCTTTTCATTTTATCCACAAATATTAGTAGGCTGAGCATGTATTACCTGAAGAAATGACAAATAGCAAAAAGTTCTTAATTAGGTTTGAAAAACAACAGCGTGAAGGTAAGAGATTTTTACAGAGACCTGTACATTCATTAAAAAATGTTCTCTCAGTTGATTGTCTCATACACTAGACGTATAACAGTAAATCAAATAATATATGGTTTAAATGGTCCAAAAATACTTTCAACACCTCTACTAGATCTAGTTTGTGAGATAGGAATAGTGTATGGAGTAAGTTTTGGGTTCAGAAAAGACTGAACAGTTGTTTTACACAGGTTGTGCCAAATGACATCACAGTGCTGGGCCATAACCCTCTGAAGTTGGAAAGACCTATGTATGTTCCATGTTCCAAGTCCTGTAATAATACTTCAAATAATTATGTTATTCTCTGTTAAAATTTCTAAGAAAATAATACTATTGCCTTGCTTATTAACTTCTTTATCAACTGCATTCATTAAGATCAGCTCAAATATACACTAGTTAGTTGCTGTAAACAGAGTATTTCATCTTGCATTTTCTTGTACAAAAAATTTATACAAAACTTATTAGTGATGGAGTTAACAACCTTAGATTACATTTTAAGTACTATTGTACAAGTATTGAGTGTGTATTTTAGTTAATACTATTTAACATGCAAACTGTACTTCACCGCCTAATAAACAGAATTACTTTAACATGGCAAATTATAAAGCAACCTTAGTATAAACAGTACACCAAGTTAATTTAACAGGTTCCTCCTGTTAATTAATTTGTCCTTGATTTACAATTTAAAATATTTTATACCAACAGCATATTTAAAATTTGGTATTTCTTCCCTGTTTTCTGATTGTGGGACTTCTTTAGTCAGGTTTTTATAAGACTACATCTGACACACAAACATTTAGTATAGAGTAGTGTGGTATTCTTAATATCCACCATGCTAGTAAAGCAGTTCCTGATTAAGTAAAAATTAATTTACATTAGACTGCAAATTACTATCTCTATTATCTCACTCTTCTCACTTCTCAGTATTGTGGTAATTTATCAGTACCAGAGGAGCTAAGTAATACAAAAGAAATGTGGGGAATTTCGTGCAGAGTATGAAAATTAATCTCATTACATACCTTGCTGGCTGGCTCATCCACTTTCCTGCCGTGTGGCAGTCATCGCGGTGCACCAGGCCTTGAAGCACCAGACACATTGCTTCTCCTCTGCTTCTCTCAGTGGGAAGATCCTGCTGCTTGAACAGCCCTTCAGGGTGGAGACAGTGGGACAGTGCTTGTTCTGCTGGGAAGCTTGCTTTGCTTATTGCCTGACTTACCTGTGCTCTACACCTTTCTTAGCCACCACCTTGAGTACAGGATAAGTGAAATAAAATGAAATGTTGGCGTCTAATCATCCCAGTTCAAAAACTAAATTTTAACTTTTTGAAAATGACTGGCCTGTGTCTGTAAATTGGACAATACCTTGAGTCTGCCTCTTGCTACAGTAGGACCATTTGCCCCTGAGTGAAACTGATGCCCCAGACTGCCTCAACAGCTGCAGTAAGCAGGTAGTAGCTCATTTCCCTCCATATTTTCGTGTCACAAATGATACTCTACAGATCTGAATCTACATGAGACAGATAGCCTCGATTCCCACTGGGAAGGCATGGAAGGATCGCTTCTCACGCTCTACGTTGCAAAACATTTTAGAATGACATTTGTAAGCTATTTTTGATTCGGAACATTGCTTCTAAACGGCTCGTACTTGGAAGTTTCTCGTGTTCTGCCGCGCCGGGTTTGAGCGAGACTGGAGCGGGGCTTGCGCTGCGCTGGGCGATGCGCGGTGCGCGGCCGCCAGGGGTCGCGGCAGTGCCGGCGGAGGGGCCGCATCGTCCCGCATCCCGCCCGGCCCCGCCGGGGCAGCGCCCGGGGGCGTCCTGCGGCCGTCCCGGGGCCGAGCTCTGCCCCTATGGCTCCGGGCAGGCGTCGCTTAAGGAGGAAAAAAGGAAAAACAATTTAAAAAAAAAAAAAAAGGGGGAGGGAGTAGTGGGAGGGCGTGGGTGTGTTCTTCTAACTCAAGGAGAGGCTGGCAGGCAGTGCTCCCTGCTCCTCTCCGTGAGGAGCCTTGGAAATCAGACTACCCCCAAGAAAAATTGCTGAGAGCAGGGTTTTGTTCTGTTCTTGGAGTAAGAAGGCAAGTGGTGAATATTAAATGCAGGTTACTTTCAGATGCCGCTGCCATAACCTCAACCTACGGCAGAGATGTGACATCAGAAGGGGAAACATGGCTCTAGATGGCATAGTTCATCAGCTGGGTCTTCAGACCTTCCTTACATCCATTTTTTATGTGCTCCATCATCATCGTCACCACCATTATTATTGCCACTGTAGTTTAGAAGGGAGGAAGGTTCCCTGTTTCTGAAAGCTTTCCAAAAGAACCTCCATCTATTCCAAAGTTCCACTTCTTTCCAAGCAGTAAGAAATATTTATAAAATTACATTGAGAGATTGGCAGTAGCAGGTTCACTTACATATTTATGTTTCTTTTGCTGTGGAAGCATAGAATGTTTATAACAAAGCTTTAGCACTGATTTCCAAGAAAACAAGAAGGAATGAGATGTGGTGGAGATAATGCCTTAGTGCAGGGGTAGTCAGTTCACGTTTGTAATCCTGCAAAGAGTTTAGCTGAGTCCTTCATGTTGCTCAGGACAAAACACATTTAAAAGACTTCCCTGTTCTCTACCTGTATGAGGGTTAACCTTGGCTGTGCATCATCCTGGCCCACACATGAGCAGGCGAAGATGGACTTTCCTCTGTTTACTGCATGGCTCTCCTGAGATCCTGCGAAGTGCTGGGTCTTACAAAGAACACATAAACAAGAAGAAATGATACACAGAAATTAGAGCAATCTGAGGGTACATAGAAAATGTGCAAATGTGCATATGTATGTGTGGGTAGATGTGTATATATGAAGAGGCATCTCAAAATCAAGAAATGAGAGAAGCTATGTGGCACGGCAGGAGCAGGCAGTGCATTGAGAAAAACTCATCCTCAGCTCTCTGAGCTGAGAAAGGATGGAGTAGCCCATGTACTTCGTCTGTCTACTGGGCAGCATAAGGATGATTACAAGGAAATGAAGAGGCTGAGGAAAAAGTAAGATTTCTCCTCTTCTATCCCTTTGCAGAGAAGGGTGATCAGTCCAATTTGCAATCCAGTTTTTGGTAAAAAACCCACTGCAGTCAGTGCTGTCTCCTGAGCGCAATAGAAAAGAGGACAAAGCTCTACGACCTTCAGGTAGATGGTGTTGTTATCATTTATAGTTCTTGTAGTTATTGCTGTTTCTTAGTTGTTTTGCCTTATTTAGTGTTTGAGAGCATCCCCTGCCCTGGCTGACTGTGGCTACCGTTTGATAGACGGCAGAGTAGAATTAGGCCGCGGCAGATGGCCGCGAATGGAGCCGGGACGGGAGCGTGACAGAGCCCCCGCAGGACTTGCTTCCACCCTGGCTGTTTCAGAGTGGCGGTTGGAAGGACTCGACGGGAGGGATGCGCCGGGGGACCCGCTCGAGGACTCCGCCGGGGCAGCGTCTGTGCACCGCGCAGGCCAAACCGCTCTCCTGCCCTACCCTCAGGGACGCTAGGTTTTCTTCCGCCGGGGACGCTCCCATCACGAGGGCCACCCGGTGCCACCGGGACGTGTCTGCACGACCGGGAGCAGGTGGCCTGGCCGCCCGCGTCGGGAGTTCGATGACGCTGCCAGCACCAGGGACAGCGCCGGCCGCGGTCCCGGCCCCCACCTGGCCCCCTCTCGGTCCCTCCGCTCCTTTGTTCCGAGGCCCCGCGGAACAAAGACTTCCGCCGCCGACGGCGCGGAGACCCCGGCCTCTCCCGTCCCCGCCCCCGCCCCCTCCCCACACCTGCCGGCTTGGCCCCGCCACCGCCGTCGTCTCCACCGGAGCCGCCTCTCCGGTGCCCCTGGCCGCACACGCCCCGGCCCCCGCGCACAGCGCGATGCCACCGCCACCCCGCCGCCCTCCCCCGCGCGTAAGCTGCCCCGCACACACTACCCCGCCGCCGCCGCCGCCCCCTGCTCCGCGCTCGCAAATCGCCGCCTTGCCCTGCCGCCCAGACCCGCGCAAAAAGTCCGCACGCCGCTCCGCTGCCCACCGGCACCGCTCTGAGCCGGCCTCCCCACACCGTCCCCGTACTCTACTCTCCTCCGCTCCCCCTCGCAACCGCCGCACACTCCTCTTCGCGCGTCCCGGCTGCCTCTCCGCACACGTCTCTGCTGCAGTGTCCCCGCCGCACATCCAGCATCTCCCGCACCCATTCACCAGCGCCGCACATGGCTCTGCCGGCCCGCGGCACAGACGATGTTCTGCTGCCTCTCGCGCACCGCGCCACTGCCCCAGGGCCCGCGTTCCTCGGCTTCCAGAGAAGTCCCGCAAGAGGAGGAGCCACTACCGAGCGGGCACCCCTAGCTACCGGCTGGGCGATGCGCAAAGAACAATCCTCGCGATGATAATATTAGAAAATGTATTTATTTCCCATTAATCGACTTTACATGATTCAGCCCAAGAAAGCAAGAGGTCGAGTCACCACCACCTTGAAAAACCACCACGGCTACCCCAACGCTCCAGTAGTCCCCCACGGCCCCGTTACCTGCTGATGACAGCTGCCCTCGCGGGCGCCCGTCCCATGGCAGTGACATCTCTCCACCGGGTTGCGCCGATCAGTATGCCAGTCCTAGTTAGTCTCGGTTTCCATAGGTGAGTACAGGTTGTCGAGCTCTTTATTGCTTTGTCTCTCCTTTTTTTTTTTTTTTGACTTTTCAGTTTTCTATTACTTTTAGTATTAACGTTTTTGTTATGGTGTGTTCTAGCGAGATCTTTCATGCTGCTTTGAGGATCCGCTCTTGGCATTCACCGCGTGCCTTAATTGTATGACATTAAATCAAGGTCCGCTGTGAACACGGAGAGTCAGAGCCTTAGAGCGCTCTCTCTCTCTCTCTCTCTGGAAGCAGAACAGCAACTGATCCCCGAAAAAACCCCGGTGATTTCCCTCTGCCCTAGTCCCATCCTGGCCTGGGCTGCATATAACTCATGCTCGAATTTTCTGACTAGCCGGTCTGTTGTTTGCAATGCTCAGGAAGCTGTTAAATATGTATTTAATGGATTAAAAAAAAAAAAAAGGGGGAGAGAAATTAAACGTGTGCCTATTAGACACTTCCAGGTGATTGCTCTAATTTCACCAGCGTCTTCGCATGATTTTAAATACAGGAGCTGGCTCTCCCCGACTCGACGTCTGTGATTTGGCATCCCTGGCTCAGGGGGATGACCGTTCTTTCCGGCTGCCTCGGTCCGCCTAGTCCTGCGGCTTCCCTGGAGCACGGGCGGGAGGAGCCCTCACCCCCAGAGCATCCCCGCTCCTCTCGGCCGGGGGAAGGAGGGGGGAGAGGGAGGTCTTTCGGCGATGAAAAATGAAAGGCCAGGACGTGTCATCTTTCTTTGTAAAGCGGAAAAAAATTTAACTCACTCGCACCTGCCCCTTTCCCGGGAGGGCCTGGGCAGCCCATCTGGCCTGCCTACACTGAACTGGCGAGTGAGGAAATGAGGGGTGAAGTCATTACAATAATTTTAAAAAAATAAAATCAGCCTAAGCTTTTTTTATTATTATTACGCTTTTTGCCATGTTTCACCGCTCAGGACGGGGACCATTCCTTTTCGGTGACGATGGCGCGCCGGGGAGAAGCAGAGCGGCCGGGCGCCTTGCATCACCCTGCGGGCTAGACCACGGCCGGACCCCGGGAACTGGGCGGCTGACCTCGATTGCTTCCTCGGCCCCAGGGCCCGGGAGAGAGAGAGGAGGCGAAGCGGGATGTACTGCGGCTGCATACGGCGGCGCCCGGTCTCCTGCGGCGGGCTGGGCTTCCCAGAGGTTTTCCCGTAGGTTGCCGGGGCATCTGGGGGCAAACTGGGCAGACGGCTCCGACCCCCCTCGGCACCGCAGCTCCCGCGTGCGGCCGCCTGGAAAACAGACAAAGCAAGAGCGTTAGAAAGGCAGGCGGGGAGGAGAGGAAAGGCAGGCGGGGAGGGAAGGGCGCCGGGAGCCCGCACGCCGCGCGGTTGCCAATGACAAAAGGAAGAGAGGGGGGAGTCAGAGCAGGGGAAGGGCGGGGAGGGAAGGGGAAGGGGAGGAAGGAAAGGGAAGGGAAGGGAAGAGAAGGGGGGGCACACGGACTGACGCGGATCTGGGGCCGGCCAGACCCGAGCCTGTGGGGCTGCTCGGTCCGCGGCCGAGGAGAGACAAGGCGGAACGCCCATCACCGCAGCGCCGGGGCGAGCGGGCATCTGAGTCTCTGCAGTGAGGTGGGAAGGGGCCAGCCGCGGGGAATCGCAGAGAGCAACCTCCTTGCCCGCCGCTGCAAAATCCCCGGAGAGCAAGCACAGGGGAAAGCTTAAAATGAAAAAAAAAAATAATTAAGGGTATGGAGGGGGGTGGGGAGCAGCATTTCCCCCTTCTTTCTCGGCTTGAAGAGCGTACGAGAGCAAAGAACTAAATCCATAGGGGGAAATCCAACCATTCAAATAAAAATACGAAAAATGAAACCACTCCGAATACTAAAAAAAAAATCATAATCAAAAAGAAAATGGTCAAACCTGCCGGGGGTTGACGGCTCCTCCGCCCAGTCGGAGCCGCGGAGAGCAGGAGAGAAGGAGAGTGCCGCTAGTTGCTTTCGGGGGATAGGAAGCGGTCCGGTCTCTCCCCCTCGCTTGCTGCTCCAGAATTAGGGATTAATGCCTCTCCAGCCAAACAAATAAGGCATCTGCCTTCAGTACAAGAGGATTACACGGGGTTGCTGACGTCACCAGCCAGGCAGATGTTGGCTCCCAAAGTCCTGATCATCTCCCGTGTCCTTGAAACCCGGCACAATCCCAGACCCGGGCGGCCCAGCCGGGTCCCTTCAAGGTCGAGGGGGACCTGCTCGGAGGGGACCCCGCCGAGCCACTCTCTCCCAAAACGTCCTCAGGCATCATCGTGAGAGAAAGGTGTGAAAAGCCGAGCCCGGCAGAAAGTTCATCCCTCCCCCTTCCCTCCGGGTCCTCTCCCCCAACTCCCCCGCCTTCCTCCCACCTCCCCAGCCTCAATGTCACATGAATTTGTACAGTCATAGCGAAGAAGAGGAGCCTGATCGCCGGCTCACCCAGAGGTCATCCTTCCCGCACGGCAGGCGACCCCCCTCACTGCGGCACCACCGCATCCCCCGGTCCCTCACCGCCCCAGTCTCCCGCCCGCAGCACCCCGGAGCCCGACAAGGGGCCGGGAGCACGACGGAGTCGGGCCAGGCCGCGCCGTGCCCCACGGGCTTTGTTTCCGCTGTGCCCGTCCCGGCGAGGCAGCGGCGGGCAGCGGGCGAGAGCGGATCGCTGTCCGTGCGGAGACAGCTCGCTCCTCCGGCCCCGGAGCTACGCGGTGTCTCTGCGGCAGGCAGGCCCCATCGAGCGGGCAGCGAGCCGAGTCGAGCCGAGCCGGGCCGAACTAGGGCATGCAGGAAGCGCGGAGGTGGCTCAAGGCCTCCTCTCGCCTTGGGAAGCCGGTGGCAGGTGCAGAACTAGGGCTTTTCCTGGCTAAAGCACTTGGAAGTTGTATTTGTGCAATTCTTAGGTGGAGGTAGAGCAGCTTGTCCTTCCCGGAGCTCAGCCCTGAGTTTGCTGGAGCCGTGGGGCGGGTTGAAAGTGTCGCAAAGTGCATCTGAAAAGGGAATCCAATTAGAAGAGAGATCAAAATAAAAAAAGAAATTTGCCTGAGAATCATGTCTGTTGCCTTTGCTGTGGCACAAAGTCCATGACTCATCATTGTTAGTCCCTTTGCATCGAACAATGGTTTCAATCATTTCGGTTCTGCAGAAAGGTAAACTAGATGATGTGACATAACGGAGCAGGATGAAGAAGATGGGATTGCCAGTATCTAGGCTCCTGTTGGGTTGATGTTGTTGTTGTTCAAAGGAGCTGTTTTATAGATCTGTTCCATATTATCCTTGTCTGTCAAAGTGGCATTTAATTTTTCCAATTGTGGAACTTGGTCACTGATAAAATCAATTTAATTTACACCACTGTCATTCAGCCGATCCGAGCAGTAGATTTATTTTTGGCTCGGAGTTGAAGGGAAAAAAGCAATCGTATGTAGAATGAAGAGATCCTTTTACTTCTTTTGCGGGCAGTAAGAAGAGAAATCCCTGTCATGGCATTTTAACAGACCTTGCTCTCCTGCAGGAGAATTATAAATGTAATTTCTCAAATCTTTTGCTTAGAAACTTGAGCAGCAACACGAAAGGGATAGCAAGAAAAACAGATCAACCCGACCTTCGGCGTTCCGTGGGGGCAGGTAGCCCCGTTCACCTCCTTTTCCCGGGGTGACACCGACTGCTCCCGGTCCCTGTCCATGGTCCTGACCCTCCGGCGGCAGCGGGCGCTGCTCCCGCGACCGTGCGGGCGGCCCTGCGCGCCCCTCCGCACCATCGCGGCCCGCGCCACCGCAGGGCCGGGGAGTCTGCGGCCCCTCTGGGGCACTTCCACCAACATCTTCACTTTGTTGTGATCACTGATAATGCTATTTTTTTTTTTTTAAATTCAGAACCTTAGAAGAAGGTGGTGGTGATGGTGGTGGTGGTGAGGATTTACCTTTCTTGGGTTTTATTCGATAGCTCTCCTGTTTCAAAGAGCTTTTAATCACTGACGCCTGGGCAAGCCCACATTTTATGGGAAGTGGTTGATATCGGACAAGGGTGTTTAAACCTCGGACTCTCATTTGTTTCCTTAAATGGATTAACATGGAAATTCAAAAGTGGTTTTTGGTAACTGGTACCTACCTATGGGCTGAAAAGAACCGACAACATTGCGAACTATATTTTTCATTGCACCTTGCAACTAGAATACCTTGCACATACTGGTTAAATATGCTCTAAAATCTCAGTTTACATATATATGGCCTCTTTCCGAATCTAAAAGAAAGGTCTTACTACGTGGCTACATGCACGCGCACACAGATACGCTCTCTGTCTCGTGCACATACATGTATGTATACATAAAGTTTAAATAACTTAGTGGAAAAGCCAGACCGTCGTTCACGAATCTTTTCTCAGATCACAACACACACACAATTGGCCAACGCTGCTCCTTAGCATTTAAAAGGAAGGACAGGTCTCGTAATGTTATTTCTTCAGTCCCCACTTCTCTCATAACCTGCTCTCCTGAGTTGAATAACGCGGGCAAAGAGCAGCTGAAATAGCCCCTCCGCTGCAAAAGGGTCTGAATGCAGCAGCTTTAGAAATTGTGCACTAGCCCTGCAAGGAGAAATGTGTGGGATCTCTCGAATGTGAGGTGCTACCCGCTGCGGAAAAGGCAGAGCTGAAGCCATTCACACTTCGTAGGCTGGGAGATTTCTTTCAAAAGAGCCCTGAAGTGTTTAAGATTTGGGGGAAAACCCTTGTACCGGAAGAAAATGGCCTAAGCACAATAGGACTCGCCATTTTCTCCTTCCAAAGCACAAAGCAGCTCCGCGGCTTCAGCACCACACAAAGAAAGTCCGGACCCTCTCAATTCTCTTACATTTTCCCCCACGATTTCAAAAGCCTTCCCCTCCAACCGATCCGCTTTCCCAGGAGCGCTCTCAGAGAAATAAAGAAAGAAAGGAGGAAAGGGAGGGGGAGAAAAGCAACTAGGCTAGGCGAGAGGGAGACAGTTCTGGTCTTAGTTTATTTAAAGCAAATCCTTCCAGGGAAAAGTACTCCTATCACACGTACACTTGAGGAGCGTGTGTGTGTGTGTGGGGGGGGGTTTGGAATTCCAAAAAACCAAACATCTGGAAAGCTGTTTTGACCACCGCATTCCTTCAAGCTGGGCGGACGCACCATGCACTACACAGACCCGAGCAGATCGCGCTGCCTGCGGATGTTTATGTACACACACAGGCGTGCAAATTCCCGTGCCAAAAAAAAAAAAAAAAAGCTCATTTTCATTCCAGTTAAGCCCACAAACTGATGCCGAAAACAGTCCTCTGTCCCCACCACTGCCAACATCGGACAATCCTCCGCACCCGCGGAGCCCCGCACCCCCGGCTGCTGCCCTGCCGCCGCGCCGCTCTCCGCTCAGCCGTCCGCCCCTCTCCCGCTTTTATTATCTTATCTCAGTAAGTCGGCAGAAGACTGATAGACCGATAAAGAGGGGGTGATAGATTAAAAAAAAAAAAAAAGAGGAAGAACAACAAAGAATCAAAACAAACCGGAGCAACACCAACCTAAACATCAGCCTGTCACTATCGCTCTGAAATACAGCAAGAGACCTCGTACTTACAGCCAGCGCTAAAGTGAGTAATCCTCATCCCAGCGTGGTTGGGTTTGTTTGGGTTTTTTCCTCCTTTTTTTTTTTTTTTTTTTGTCTAGTTGTTTTTAAGTACTTGTTCGTTCCCATTGTCCATCGCTCGGAGTGGATTCAAGCAAAACCAGCCGGTTAGCAAGAATAAAAATAGAAGTGATTTCATTGTGTAAATGCAGCAAAGAGACAAGATGCTGTGTTTCTCCTAATACTTTCTGCTTAGGAACCGTCAGCTCTCAGCTCAGAAAAGCAGGACTCCGTGTGAGTCTCCCCCTCCTCTCTCCTCTCTCTCTCTCACACACACACATACACAAACACGAACATGCACACACACACACACACACACACATACACACTTACTTTTCCTCTTCTTCTTGCCTTTCTTTTTTTTTTTTTCCAAAAGAGGGCAGGTCGTTCCCTGAATCCCAATGAGTTAAGTCAGTCACTTTCCTTCACATGCATCACAGCCTCCTTAGAGCTGCAGGCACAAAAGAGCATTTAGTTGCCTCCAATTTGTGTAGAAGGCCTGGCCTTATTTTTTTTTTAAGTATATTTAAATCATGTATTTCACTCAGTATAAAAATACCACATCCTCAACTTTGACGACTGAACTACTAATTGTAACCTTTTAAATAAATTCTTGAACTTGTATGCATACTTAGCTGGTCTGCAGGGGTTTCCCAAGAAATTGATGCACAGTATTTCTCATCTGTGCAGACCTGCACCCTGCTTTCTCCAAAGGTCAGAGCTATACAATCCACAATTACTTTCTGATGAAGTCTTATATCAACAAAATCTCCTTGAAAGGATTACAGGCCTTTAAAAATAAAGCTTTAATCTTAAATATACATGGTAGCATATTCCATTTCAATCAAATATGAGGGATTGTTTCAAAAAGTAACTGCACACACATACACGTCTTTTAATGTGGGCTGATTTTTTCCAGGTGGACAGAGAAATGCATAAGCAAGGTTGAATTTACTCCACATTTCACAGACTATTTTATGTCAGTTCTTTGTTCTGGCAAATGTGGGAACATCCATCCATGTGTATGTGTGTGTATATGTGTATATATATATATACACACACACACACGTATATATATATATATATATATATATTCATGTATGGCAGAGTGTGGCTAGCCTGGCCATGTCAGAGAGCCGCAAGGTTGGCAGAAGTCTGTCATGAGGCAAATGAAGTGCCAAAGTGACCCAGCGGTGGCCCTCCAGCTGCGGAACCACAGTGAGAAGAAAGACCGGTCCGTGCCGGGGGCTGATGGGCACTGCCCGGCCCAGGGCCACCCACCATCTCCTTGTTCCATGGCCTGGGGCCCTGGGGGACCCCTGGGCACTGCGGGGTGGCCAGGGCAACCCCAACATCTTGGTCACCTCAGGAGTTCTTGGCACTTTCTTTGCATGCTTGTCATCTCCTAATTCCAGCTGCACTTGCTCAAATGGGTGGTAATCCGACTCTAGAGGAGATTAAGGAACCAGAGATAGCTGCATTTGGGATTACCAAAAGGAAATGAAGGAATCTAATCCACTCCCACCCCTTACGTTGCTGGGTTTCAATAAGACCTTATACCACCTTTTAGGATTTTAAACAAATGAATTCACTTGGAGAAGGGGACAGAAAGAGACCAAGTGATGGAGAGCGTGTTTACCCATTAAATGAACTCTGTAGCAGAGGATAAGGTGAATTGCAAAAGCAGCCACAGTTGATCTGCTTTCTTCTGCATCTGTGTACAGGCCCAAGGTTTGCAGCTTCCTCAGTGCTCTCCTCAGGACCAGGACAGGTTTTGGAACGCTACACTGGAGCCCCATGTATAAACCGCAAACAGCCTAGTACTGATTAGGACACTCCCGCCCACCTCCTCCCTCTGTCAAATCACACACCTCAAAAGCCAAACCCCCCCAGTATAATGTGAAGCTGTAAGTATGCTGTTTCCAGTCAATAAGAATTATCAGTAAACCCGAGAACGTCCTTACCTTCAGAGGGTTTTTTTTCTGCTGTATTCTGATTGCATGAAGTCAATAAGAAAATAATTAGCACTTACTACAGTGATGAAAATAAAGTCCTCTTGGTTTTTCCTAGTTTTGCTGTCAACCAAGGAAACAGCATATGCTTTTGCTTCCAAATATACAAGAAGTCCAGAGGAAGAGGACTGAACTAAACTAGTACTGAGACCGGGTCCTCCTTCTTTGGAAAGATCATAGTAAGAGTGTCACAGAAATAAAAACCAAACCAAAAATAAAACAAACAAACAAATAAACAATCAAAGAAACAAAAACTCCAACACCCCCCCCCCAATCCCACAACTAACAGAAAAACTGTGAAATTTATGGGTGTTTCCTTTTTGTAATTTCACATATGACCTTCCCTTTTCCCAGACAATTTTTATATTCGAAGTGCTAGACTGCCTACAACAAGCCTCTCAAAATAGTATTTAACATGAATACGTTTAATTGTACTGAGCTTCTTCGTATACTGATTATCCTTGGTGCATCGTCGGGTAGTCTAAAATACTCTTCAATTGTAAGAAAAGAGCCTTAATATGAAGGAAAAAATGGCTAGTCATCCCTGAGTAAGATTTTGTTTTGTAGAGTGCTTGTCATGATCCTTTGCAAGTCTGGAAGCAACGTGAATCAAAAGCCTCGAAAGAAGACCTACGTCGACAGAGGTTCCATATATAGCAGGCGCTAATTATTAAAGCTCATTCTCTGATTTAGGACTCTATTTTCCTTAGCAAGCCCATCATCCTGACACAACGCAGCTCAGGATGTTTGTTCAAAGCTTATGAAAATGTAACCCTACTCATTGCTAGAAGTTGTTGCTAATTAGTTGATAATAAACTTCTCCGTCCAGGACACAAAAGTCTTTCAGAAGTGCAAGGTGTTCTTTGTGATTCCCTCACAAGGGGAATTAGCATATCAATTCGGCAGTGGAACAATACGGTAAGGCGCTTGCCTTCCCCCCCCCCTCTTCTCCTCCCCCCACTCCCTTCTTCCTAGCACTGATGTGGTGGGCATGAAAGTGAAAGGCCGGGGTCCCCTGCTCCGCACCGCCCCGGCCGGGGGCTCGGCAGGCCCCGGGGCTGAGCCCGGCGCGCTCAGCGCACTTGTAGCCACGTCCCGCTTTGGGCATCAGCCGCTGGGTGTGCGGGGCTGGCGGACCACCGGCAGCCCACCCCTCCGCACCGCTGGCTTTACGACCCCTCCTCCGTGGCACTGACAAATGGGTTTGCGAGCCCCCGCCCTGCCTCCCCCTCCCCTCGCCACCGATGAAAGGGTTTCAGCCTGAGAGCTTTTTGCACATGGATGTTTTACAACGCCTCCCGCCCCCGCCAAGGTAATTCTGCTACCCAATATCCTTAATAAAGACTGTTGTTCCCCCTTCACTTGTTAAAGGTTTCTCTGACAGACTGGTCTTTTATTCCTCACCTCCAAAGGGTGGATTTCTAGACCTCCCTACGCAGGTGTAAACGCTGAGAAAAACCAATGGTCCCGATAAAAATGTTCAGTCAGTTATAAATTCAAATAACTGAGGGGGAAGAAATCTCATTCTTAGCAATTTAACAGGAATTTGTCCTATTGATTGCAACCTCCTCCTGGTCTTGGTTGGTTGTGTGTGCTCTTGATTTTTTGGTTTGTTTGTTTGGTGTTTTTTGTTTGTTTGTTTGTTTGTAGGGTTTTTTTTTAATGCCTAGTAAATTCACAAGAAGACACAAAACCTGCAAATGCAAGGTACAACCAAACACCCAAACCTACTAGCCACTTGGTGACATGTGTAAGTGGATTCCATAGAGGAATGAAAATCTGTTTATAACAGGCCAGAGAAAGCAATTAGACAAAATTCTGAGATCCTGAGGCCTTTGATCCATCTAACTGTTCTTCTACCCAAAGGCTTGACAGCTGCAAGAGTTTTTATCCACATGGTTAGAGTACAAATAAATGCCTAGATTGGAATGAGAAATGTGGTTTGGACCCTACAGGTAAATCAGAGCAAGTCTATGGAATGGCATTTGCCCTCCTTGGTGGCTGTGGATAAACTCTTTGTTTGGAGTGTGGGGAAAAGGCCAGCCTTTGAGGACATAAAAGCTAGGCTTTCCTAATCAGGGCAGAAATAAACCAAGAGGGTTCAATTTTCTGCTTTCAATTTTTTTTTTTTTTTTGAAAGAAGGACCACTGTCCAGTTGTCTCTCACTCAAAAAAGAGTATACTTGAATACAGTTATTTTTACGCATTACAGTGATATGTTGTGTGCATTAAAACATTGAGATATGCTAAGGAATAGAAGAAAATAAACCTCACTTTTCCCCTTAAATCGCTAGGGAAGAAGTATACGTCAGGAAAAATATGTTGTGTAATTAAAAAGAAAAAAAATATTTATTAAGAGAAAATGTTTGTTTTCTTAGGTTTGTAGAGAAAGTCTTGAGTAATGAGAATAAAAGCCCAAATCCTAAGAGTTTTCATGAAATTCAGTGTAGGGAAAAAAAACCTGTTAAGGATGGTTGTTTCCCCGAATGCAAAACATCAGGGAAGAATCTGAAGAGAGCTTTACTTTCTGTGTAAAATCTCCATTGTTGCTTGGCAAACAATGGGAGCTCTGGGCGACTGGAAGGCTGTGAGAATGAATAGGGAATCCACAGGATGTGTGCGGGTCAGTGCTTGGGGTCTCTGTCCTAAAGCCCCTTTCTCAGCTTGCCACAATAAAGTAGCACAAGGTTTAGTCTTTCCTGGGTCACTGGCCATCTTCTATTATTCAACACTTCACAACAAAAAACACTTATTAATCAGCGCTGACCAGAGGCCCCTTTTGAAACAAGAGAAAGGGAGAAAGAGAGGGGGGAGAGACAGAGAAAAGAAGATTGAGAAACCCTGAACAGACCCTCCCAATACAAGAGCAACCATAGGCACTTTCTCAACTGGCCAAAGAGATTTTTTTTTTCTTTTTGCCACAACAAAGTTTCCAATCAGGTCAGAGAGGACTGGACTTTCCCCCCTACCCCCAACCCTGTTTTCCCTCTCACTCTCTTTCCTTCTTGCTCTGAAGATGATGGAGACTTTGTTTTGCAAGTAAGGATAGCTTTAGGTCAAATTGCCAGGGTCTGATTTTAGAGGTGTATCCTTGCTATATTGGAAGATAAGGCTGTTTCTCATCTGGGCCTCAACTCTGGAGATGGCATAGGAGAGAAGAGGTTTGCTTGTGGGGTGCTGCTCTTGGGCTTTAAGAGCTGATGGATGAGGTGTCAGGGCAGAAGTTGTGTGAGGACTTGGATCAAAATGGTATGAGAGAGAGTCAAATGTGCCATTTATTGAC